GCAATTTGTGAGAAGATGTAAGCTGATGTGGCTGGGAATGAACTGCGGATATTGTTGGCTATAGTTGTAGGTGCCAGAGCCTTCATATTCCTCAAGTCCTTTTCCTGCTTCCCCTCTTGAATTTAGGTGTCTTTGAATCTTCCTCCTTGGAGAGAGCTTGTGTCTGGCAGCACTGTCTGCTGTGAGCACTGCCATTACATGGGGACCCTGATGGTGAGCTGGTACACTGTCAGGGAAGGGAGCCCTCTATAACTTTCTGATCAAATCTCAATGTTTTATTGGATCTGTGCCTTGGGGAGGTGACTTCCACAAATGCTTTCCCAGAGGTAGAGACTTCTTTCCCCTGCTCCCTGCTTCCCTCATGGCTGCCCTGTTTCCCCTGAGGACAGTGAAGCCCTGGCTCCAATGACCGTGGTTTCTGCCTTCTGAGGACAGACAGGGAGGCTAGAGGAGATGGGGAAATATCCTCTGCCCAGCTGGGACCAGCCTCTGGCAGTGTCTTTCCCCTAGAAAGCCGTTATGGAGATGGCTCTGGGCATCTCCACAATGGGAGATCCCTCTCAGATGGTTCGTCAGAAGAACTTGTGAGACTTGCGTAGGTAAATCCCATGAAAGTGGAGCCTCCCTAAGTCAGCAGCAGAGTTTCTCATGCTCCTGCTCATCCACACTCAGCCTCCAACAATGCATCAGAATGACTATGTAAGGGCTGCTACCCTCAGTGGCTCCAGCAGCTTCTGCTCTAGGTAAGCAGGTATGGACCATCTCTCTTGATTCCTGGGTGGTGGTTGGCTCTGAGGCCTCAGTTCTCTAGTGGGTACAGGAAAAGTCATTGATTCTTAACTTGTCCAGCTTTCCTCACTGTAAGGACAGCTGTGATGACATCCAAGCTCTTAATACACTGGAGTCAAAAGCAGAATATCCAATTTGGAGACTCTGTGAGATGCAGACTGCTCCAGCCTCATCAGAATTTACTTGGATATCTTGTTTGTAGCTTCTACTGGAATTTAAACCACCCTCCCACCACCACCTTTAGCTCTTATTCTTAACTGCTCTTGGCTTCTGACGTTGGAAATCTGGGGGCTGCCAGGTCCATCGGATGTCCATGGCATCCTCTGCTTTCTCTACACAGTTGCTGAATCACACAGGGTTTGCCACTGATGCTTTCTCCACCTGCCTGTATTTTGGGTTTTGTGTGGAAATCTCGACATTTAGCTCTGTTGAAGCTACTGTCCATGGGTATACGGTTTTGATTTTATAGTTCCTCTCTTATTCTCTGGGGAGAAATGGGTCGATACAAAATCTAAATTGCAGCTGCTGTTCCTATTTTCCTAGACGCTCCTGACTATTTGTATTTTAATAGTAACTTTGAAGTCCAAAAGACCTTCAAGATTCACAGGAATTGTTTGATGTCATACTGCATGACCAATCGTTGGAGAAAAGTATCTTGGGAAGCCCATGGGATACTCTTCAAACTGCAGTTCACTGCTGCCCATCTACTCAGTCCAGTCCTCAACTTAGCCAGTGCTGTGGGGTGGGGCAGGCAGAGCTCCTGGAATGGATTCCATTCTATCCTTTCCTATGCAAATGATTTTAGGTCGTTCTGACCCGATTTTAAGCACTGGTGTTCTTTTCTGACATGTCTCTAATTTTGATTGTTCATATTGTTCTAAGCCAGAGTAAATGTTCCCCAGAGATGGAAGACATAAAGCTTGTCACAGAATCTGCGTCTGATTCATGGCCTGACCTTACAGTTCTTTGTGCAGTGCTATACACCCTAGGGTTTGCAATAAATATTAATTGAATGGAGTTGAATTGAATTTACACTTTGCTCATTTCACAAATAGGTTAAGTGAAGATTAACAACTTCACAGCAGTACTAGCACACTGAATTAAAGAATATCTGTGTATATCTGTAATGTCTTGAATTGGTGCAATAAAAGTATCTCACTATGGAAAAATCTATAGTTATGGGAAAAATTGTTCTTTAGATCTTACCTATACTTGCTCATAGAAACAACTGTGAACATGCACACCATGATTCTTCATTTCCCCTTAATAACAAGAGATTGCAAAAAATTCCTTAAGGGCTTAACGATTTCTCTACATTACTTCCTAGTTAATTTTTGACAAGAAAACAAGGTGGAAACAGACATGGCATATCACAAATTAGAAATGTGAGGCTGTGCAACAAAGCAATCTACTGAACACTCTCCTAGGTCAGGGATTTCTGTGTGAAATGTATGACTCTAGATGTCTGGCTTCCTTCCTTTTTCTTACTTTGATTTATGCCTTTCTACAAATGAAGCAAAGGGTGAAAGACAGGCTACCTCTGACTTTTGCACATCTACATTTTATAAAGACAGTTTTCAATCTGGAGCCACTACAACTTCCTTATTACCATGAAAAGAAATTGTCTGGGCTTACAAAAATATCACACATGGAAAAGCTACAAAAATGTAGTACCAAGAACATTTTTAAAATGTCATTGTAATTTTAAATCTATCATTATTAAATTTCCTACATTTGGTTTCCTCTTATATTCACACAACCTGTAGTCCCAGCTACTCAGGAGGCTGAGGCAGGGAGATAGCTTGAGCCCAGGAGCTTGAGGCTGTAGCATCTGTGAATAGCCACTGCACTTCGGTCTGGGTTACACAGTGAGATCTTTTGTCCAAATAAATATGAAATATATACATATATACACACATATAATATATATTTAAACAAAATAAAGTAAATTAAAAAAATCTAACATCTTGCTTATCAACCCCCCAAGCTTCCTATACTGAGTTATACTTTTCCTTGACATACACGTGCCTTGTGAAAAGTGGTCTGTGATCAAATAAGAATTGGGAAAAATGTATTATACCATAAACTTGTAGGTTCATTATACATATTGATATTTAGTGTCTCTGAAAAGTTTGACAGAAAAGAAAATGTGAAATTACTTTCCTAACATTTGAATGGTGAATACTTTACCATGAAATATATATTGCTATTTTGGGAAGCTGTCATTTGCCAGTTGGGGAAATGTTTTCTAGGTCCATGAACTCATTACTTCTATATGGAACACTAAGCGGCAATTCAACTGCTCTCTAATTTCAGCTGGGAAATTAATGTCTCAAAATTTTGAGATCCAGTGATTTTGCCTGGCCAAATAATATTTATCTTTTTACACTCAATTTGAGTGTCTCCTATACTATTCCACACAGAAAAGGTGCCTTGAAGAAATATCCTTTCTTTGCTCTTCCTCCCATGCCCGAAACATTTCTAAACAGTAAGCATTCATTTTTAATAGCATATACCCTTGAAATGAAATGTCCAAATCACAAAGGGATGTCTTAACGATAGCGACTTTACGTTTTGCTTTCCTACCTTGGCACATGAGAGAAAGGACGGTTAGCTATAAAAATAATGATTGAGTCCCTTAGAAAGAGGGACTTGGGTTTGGCCACTTCAGGAGGTGTTGGGGACAGAGTTGACCCTGGCCAGATTCTCCACAGTTTTCCTCCTAAGTGAAATTAACTGAGAAGTATTGCACAATAGGAGGATGCTAAAACCCCTGCCCTAACAGGAGTACATTTAAATGTACCGTGTTTGCCTGAAAAATAACACAGGCTCTTATATTTCTTTTCCTCAAATGAGCCTTACGGCTCATTTTCAGAGGGTTTTTTTTTAAGTACGGTGCAACCATCTACATTCATTCAAATAGAGTTCAGTCGTCTTCTTATGGAACATCATCATCACTCTCCAAACCCCCGAATCCCATCCTGAATGTCTTGCGACTCTATTTCCTTTACAACCACTGGCCCCAATCTCTCCTGTCGAGCAACAGAGCTCTCACGGGGCAGATGAGAAGGGCTGCTCGTGTTCTTCCCCGCTCCACGACGACATGCACGGGTTGTGCAGATGTGCTGCAGCCACTCCTGTCGCTAGGGCTTATTTTCAGGGTAGGGCTTCTATTGTGCACATGCTTAGAAATCCTGCTAGGGCTTACTTCATGGGTAGGTCTTATTTTCAGGGAAACACAGTAGGTATAGATGTAGACTATTTTTTTTTGTGTGTGTGTGTGTGTGTGTGAGACAGAGTCTCACATTGCTGCCCAGGCTAGAGTGAGTGCCGTGGCGTCAGCCTAGCTCACAGCAACCTCAAACTCCTATGCTCAAGTGACCCTCCTGCCTCAGCCTCCCCGAATAGCTGGGACTACAGGCACGCGCCACCACGCCTGGCTAATTTTTTCTGTATACTTTTAGTTGGCCAATTGTTTTCTTTCTATTTATAGTAGAGACGGGGGTCTCGATATTGCTCAGGCTGGTCTCGAACTCCTGACCTCGAGCGATCCGCCCGCCTCGGCCTCCCAGAGTGCTGGGATGAGTGGCAGGCGTGCGCCACCACGCCGGGCGGATGCAGACGATTTACCTCAGAAACAAGAGTGTAGAGCTCTTAGCATCGTTATTTCCTTCTGGGGAGCCTCACGGAAACGTGTAACAATGCACAAAATACACAACGGGCACAACGGCCACGCTTCAACGTTCCTCCCGAGGAAACTGCAAACGGTGGACTACTTACCGACGTCCCCCGGGGCCTGTCTGCCGGCGCGACGACTCCGGAGCTCCAATGTCTCCATTCCTGTCACGAGGCGCGACCAAATGCCCTTGTTTCTGGATCTTTCCTCAGCTAATCCCTGGAGGCTGAGGGCCTACCGCTCCTTTTTGGTGGGACCACGCGGGGGCGGCTCCTTCCGGGGGTGGATTTGGACACGCTCACCCCGCCGCCCGCCGCTTCCGGGGCTCTCCAGGTGACTGACGACGGAACCGCGGTCCAGCCCGCCAAAAGTGGCGAGACCCCGGGCGCCAGAGGGCGCGCGCCTCCGCGTTGTTTCCTTCCCTCAGCACAGATCCGGGCATTCGAGGCGTCACCGTGGATATACACCACGCGGCGCGCGGATACTTCTGTCCTCCTGGTCGGGTGAACGCGGGAAATGCCAGAGAGAGAGAGAGAACTTTCTGTGAGGGACGCGCCACCGGGGAGACGGTTCTGACAGAAACAAGCGCGTGGCGCCCTCAGCGGCCCTGCTCCGCGGCGGACTCAGGGCAGACCTCTCAGAGGAGGTGACAATCCATCCAATGTTGACAGACTGTGACGGCACCGGACCCATCTGGCTCGACTTTCACGCGAGGAAGCCGGAAGTTGTTTCCCCGTTGCCAGGGACCCCAGGTTGAAGGTCAGGGAACCCGGAGCCTGCCCAGATGCACCAAGCTAACAACCAGGGGTGGACCCTGAGTGCTCAGGCGGACGAAAGAGCGGGAACTGAATTAAGAAGTGGACGCTGCCCGCCTCATGGTATGATCCAATCAGATGGAGCCCTGGCATCACCCCTCCCGTAATAAGATCCAATCAGATGAAGCCCTGGCATTACTCCATGGCAGGATCCAATCAGAGGGAATCCTGGCATCGCCTCCTGGCATGATCCAGATGGAGCCCTGGCATTACCTCAGAGCAGGATCCAATCAGATGGAGCCCTGGAGTGACTCCTATGGCAGGATCCAATCAGATTGCACCTCATTACCCTACACTTATAAAACCTGACCAACCCCAGCTGGGGGAGACACACCGGAGCGCTCCTTCACATCTGCCTGAGGAGATCTGACTGACAGGCGCTGACGCTGTTTCTCAGAGGCCGCTGCTGTGGTGTCACGTCAGCAGGCAGCGAGCCTGCTGACCGCTCGGCAGCAAGACGAAGGCCCACGTGGATACAGAGAGGCGGCGAGCGTCCCCAATGGAGCGGAATGTTCTCCAGAACCGGAGACCGGGGCGGGCGCGACTCCTCAGGGAAGCGCGAGGCCGGGTGGCAGGCGCTGCCTCACAGACAGAGGAGCCGGGAGCGGGACGGGGACCCTGGACAGCACTCGGGCACGACCCGCTCAGACCAGCCCAGGCTTCTGAACTTTAAGCAGCAGAGAAAGTGAAGTGTGTACAAGCAATCCGAGAGCGCCCCGGCATCCAAGAAGGCAAGATAATTAAATTGAGGAGAAATGACCAGAAAAAGAGAAAATCATCAGTATCCTGGTAAGAACCACCATCTAAAACGAAATGAGAATCCTATCTATTCACGTAAAATAATGTCATTAGGGGTCACCCTGTCACAAGCGAAGAACACAAACTCGGAACGTTTCCGTGTAACGGTGAGAACGGCTGTTGCAGAGCCTCCCTTTCCTCTGGGCCCGGTGTTTTGCAAAGCGGGTCGAGCTCTGACCTTGACCCCTGGGCGTGAACCCATTCGACCTTGGGTAGGCAGATGGGCTGTCAGGCCACCCATCTCCCTGCAATTCTCCCTGCTTCTCCTGGACGGACTTTCAGAAGCCTCTACCTAGGTAGCAAAACAAAAATATGTGGAAATCAAACCTCCCTTAGTTTCTTCAAGTGTAAAATGTGGATGGTTATGTTTTTGATTCTGAGGACTCAATAAGCTAATTCATGTGAGACACTAGGAACGTCGCCTGACTTAGCGAAAACTCAAGGCATGTTAGATATTACTATTAGTGGTGGTAATATCGCCATTACCTATGAGTATAATAAAAAGAAAATAACCTTTTATAAATTAATAGTTTGTCTTAAAAGCATAATCAACCGAAACATAATGAAATTTCCATTTGTTCTACTATGGCGTGGGCATTAACTGCTTTTGATCTTTAGAGTTGACATCTCTATTATAATGAAATAACTTCAGGAAAAAGTTTTTTTATAAAGTCGTAGAGGGAAATGAATAAAAGAAAAGAATAAGGAGAGATAGGTCAGCTCTTGATTGAAGGCAACATTTTTCATGTCAAGAATGAATAGTCAAGGGAGTTTAATCCTCTGCCTTAGGAAGTATATTAAAATTCTCAATGAGCTTTTAGCATCTTAAACAATTTCAAATAACTGTCTGTAAAAAAAAAAATCACCAAGGTGGGTTGCATGTTATGCTAGTTTCTGGTTAAGGGAGACAAACTTCAATGTATGCACGCTGACACATTAGGAATAGGCTGTCATCTTTAAGGAAAATGTCTTCTATGTCACATTATGTGAGTGTCAAAAGATTTTGTTGTTGTTTGTACAGTGGCTGTCACAAAAACAAGCAAGCTGTACGTCTCTTTTTTCTTGATACTGATTAAGAGCATATTGATAGCTTTTAAATGAATGCTCTATTTTGAATTTTTTGGTTTGAGTGTTCTTAATAAAATAAAAACAACAAATTTAAGATTAGGAGATGTTTTAGAATCAATAAAAATGTATAGTTAATATTTAAAAAAATGCATCCAAGTTTAGTAGGTTATTTTTTTAAAACAATGACTTCTTAATTGCTCTATATGTGTAAATGTAGTTTCTTTAGTAAGAGCTGTTGAAAACTGGATATCCTTGTGTGTTTTTCATACACATCTGATGATTGGAAGTTATTACATAGGTCCAGAACCCAGCTAATGGAAGGGACTTTTACTGCCATCCTTCCACCTAGCCCTTGTTTTCTCAACACTGTTATGTATGCTATCTTTGAAGGTCAACCTTATTTCCACAGGCTTCTGGTTTTGGAGGGAACCAAATGTCGGGGGTGCTTTTCTGTAGACTTGACAAACAGTAGTATGACAAACAGCAGTATTAAGGCAGACATTTGTATTCCTTCTTTCAGCCCACCAGTACTTTCTCAACTGTCTGTTCTACATCAGGTACTTATCTTCTGACCAAGAAATAATCCTACACAAAATACAAAGTAAGAAGAATTGCAATAAATAATACATTGCAAATTACTCTATCCCATATATTTCATAAGGCTATGGAGTGCCTTGTTTTCAAGGCTGATTTCATGACATGCTTGTGTAAAGCAAATATAAGCAAAACTTGCATTTGATTTGTTTTGAGTATGTGTAGGATTTGCAAATTAGGCTCAACCAGTTATTTCTGGTACAGGTAACCATTTCCATCCTATTGAAAAATCTAAATCTGTAGAACATTTGATAAGCATTTTAAAAAGATAATTAAAGATATGAGTGAAAACATCTGGTTCTAGCATTTATTATGAACAATAGTATTTTAAAAATTTGGAAAATTAGACATACCAAGGGAAAGGAGTAATAGAGCCTTTAATGATTTGGTGATTTGTCTCTTAAATTTAATAAGCTTTGAAACATAGTTTAAGGCCTTAGAAAAATCCCTGTGATCCACAAACCTTATTTTAGCCCATGATTAAATCACATTACTGAAAAGACCTCAGAAAATGCCTTTTGATGGGAAACTATTCAATTAATAATCTGAAAGATGAATCCTACCCTCATGAAAGTATTTCCTTAAAATCATCAGAAAATATTCACAAGGTAGACATATATTGTAATCATGCTCCTCTTATCTGATCCAAAATTACAGATGATATGTCAATTTTTCCTCATATTTTAAGCCAGCTTTATTCTTAATAATGACAATCATCTGCCAAATATGCTACATAGAAATAGGAAATGTTTAGTATTTATCATCACATTATTTTTCTTAATGGAGACCATGGTTAAGAAAATTTTAAAATTATTTGCAACATTCATTAGTCAATAATCAGTTTCCAATATCTTAAAGTGGAAATAGTTATAGGCCAATGTACTAAACAGTAAAGATTCCAAAATTTTAATATTCTTTCAGAGCTTTCATTATAATATCATTTTAAGAATTTGAGAGTAACTGATTAGATCTTTGGCAGAACAATTTTCAATACTGAGATTTTAAGGCAAAGTTTTCCTTTTATTGCACTCTTTTTTATACTTGAATCCAACCCATGTCCACATAGAACCATATACACATGCTTCTCGGCCACATTTACAAAAGGATAAATTTCCTTTCCATTAGCACATTTTCTAGTATATTGTCCCCATTCCCAGGCTCTTTTGAAGGGGCAGTCCCAAGTGGCCAGGTTGGTACTACTGTGGCCCCAGGCTCAATGACTGCTGAGCAGGGCCAACCCAGAAACAAGCCAATAAGGCAAGCAGAACTGGACCCTTCACCCTCTCTTTTGAGAACTGGTCTTTAAATCAAGTATCGAGATGATTAGAAGAATGAGAGATGATTTCATCTAACAGTTTTTGCCACTGATTTATCTGGGAATGCATTTTGCAGTTTGCTATTCCCCTGGGTCTATGCACACAAAGTTTATCAACATTAAAATTCCACAGAGACTGTTTTGTAAAGCCCTAATCAACTGGTGACTTTTGTCCTGGTAGGAGATAAGCCATATATCTCTCAGGAAGAATTCTCAGTGTTGGAGTCACAAAGAAACAGGCATGCTGATATACTTCTGGAGATAATAAAAACTGCTCCTTGTTTTTTTGAAAAAATTTTGCAATATGTATCAAAAGCCTCAATATCTTCAATGCAGTTTGACTCAGAGTTTTTACTTATAAGATTCAACACAAAGACATATTTTCTAATTGAGAACATAGATCACTTCCCAAGGTGTTTGTTGTGAAATTATTCATAATGTAATAATAACATGAAAAAACTATCCAACAAGCAGTAGAGTCATGAAATGTGGTAAATCCATATGAGCACATATTATATAACTTGAATGGCTATTTGGAAGAATTTCTAACTGCATGGAATAGAGCTTATAATAAATTACTATAAAAATACAGTATTTCATAAGCAATAGCCTTATACATCATATTTTTAATAGGGGGAGGTTCCCTAGAAAGATAACATTGGTTATCTCTGGGGTGCAAGGTTATAGGGTCAATTTATTTTCCTGCACTTACACACATATATACGCATATATACATTATTGCAAGTCTTGTAAAATAAGCATGTGTTTTATAAATGCAAATATATAGATACATATCTTTATATATGTGTATATGTGTTTGTATGTATATATCTATGTGTGTGTGTATGTATATATATATCTTTTTATTTTGTCAGGTTTTCATCATTGTCATGAATATTACTTTGAACTTCATTCTCTGACCTAATATTTATTCAAGCACAAGAATAGATCCAGAGGTTTTTTTTTTCTAGTGAAAATTTTGGTTTGGTCTACAGGTTCCCCAGTAGCTAATGTCTACACAGAGACAGCTCACCCTTTATTTGGGCACAAGAGTCTGTCTTGCCCTGGACAATCACTACTAGTAACTTACTGTTGACAGCAGGGTTGTGAGAGTGTGGGGAGCACCCAGGTGGGCCTGAGCTGCTGGGAATGGCGGCCTGTCCCTGGTGGGCTGTGGGCTGTGGCCTGTGACCGCCCCACCAGAGCCCTGAGACTCTGGGCCTGGGATGCTGCTCCCCCAGGGACAGCCAGGCCTCCACACGGCTACGCTTGTTTCTCTTTAACACATAAAAACTCAACTCTAAAAAGAGAGAGAGAGAGAGAAATACTAAACATTTGTAAAAAACACTTTCTTCAGTAACTATTTTGCTGACCAACTTCTGTCAAGAGCCAGATAGACTTTTAATGCTCAAGAGGAAAACAAGATGTGACCATTGCTCATTTCTCTGGATTCTACAAGTTCTCACTATTGTCTCAGAGCAAATTTCTAGGAAGTCAGGTTATTATTTTAGCTTCTTGGAGAAATATTCCTTCTCCAAATTATTAACCCACATAGCTGTTCACAGCTTACTTAGGTAATGACATTATATGGACACTTCCTTTTTAGTCTTCCCTAAGGCACAAACAAACAAAAAACAAAAAACATTTACATTGAAAATGCTTCAGAAAATGGGTTTCAGAAGAGAATGGTGTTATCCGTAAATCACATATATTTATGCAGTTCAGAAATACTTCCTATTGCAGACAGCATCACTGTAAATAGAGAATTTATCAGCCCATAGGTGGGCATCTGTATATGAACTTAATTTTTATATTTTATAATAATTATTCCTCATTTCTATTTATTAGCTGCCATTCTATTTTTAGCTAGTTTAAAGGAATATCATTTGTAGAACTAACACATAACATTTATAAGAGTAATTGCAAAAATTAGGATGCATTCAGATCAATAACTAAAAAAAAATCCTGTCATTCGTTTGTATGCCAAAGGGTATTGGATGCGTTATATTATCCTTTTTCTTCTACCTAGCCCCTAATAAATATTCTCGCTAGAGGCAATGTGCTAAGCCCTCTTTGCATTCATTTTTCATAAACATTTCTCTGCCATGATTGGGTACTTGAATAATGATTAAGCGTCACAACCATTCCCCCTTGTTAGTCTTACGAGCATACTGGGAAATGTGTGAATGTAGAAATAGGACTATAAATTATTTTCATGATTTTTTCCAACTTGTGATCTATCTCTCCAATAGAACATAAACTGTCAAATACTAATTGTTACCTAAAGTCGTTTCTTTCCTTAAAGTAAGCTCACAAATATCTTTCTTTATTTCTCTTTTACATGTAAATGTGGGTACACACTCATAGAATAATGGGGCTTTGTTGTCATAGAAAACTATTTAATCACATATGTTTCATTTCTTGGGTTTAAAAAAAAGCATAACCATGTCAAGAGAATTGAATCAAAAACCTTGGAAATATATTGGTTGATTATTGTATGTCAGAAGCTTCTAAGACATATGTTTTCTTACTGAAAGGTGAGAGACTATACTAGTCTAAAGCATTTGCATAGATATTCCAGGAAGAATTCTTATTTTGCCTGAAGTCTTATACTTCAAATTGTACTGCAGTGTAATGCCATTTACTGCATATTACTTTATGAGAATACTTTGGAAATATCACTGGAAATCACATGAGACTGAGTTCTGACTAAATTACAATCATAATCCTGCCATGATCTTTGAGGAACTTGAAATGTTTTATTAAGTAGCCACTTAGGTATACACCAGGCTAATAATGAACTTCCAATCTCACTGTTCACATAACAGAGATGATAGGTTAAAAATATTTTGAAATTTTTTAATGTAGCTATTTTCGAGGATTATTGTATATGAAAAAGGCACTCGTAGAAACTACTTTTGAGAGCTAGGTACAATGTAAAAGGCACACTTAGCTATGCTGAGAGTCATTCTGCGTTTAGCAGAAGTAGCTACTCCAGGTGCCTACAGCAGCCTTGAAGGGAACATGAGAAGAAATCATGTCAGAAATCACCACATGTGCAGATACCACGTGAGGCTCAGAGCCAAGGCGCTGGGAGGGTGCATCCCACCTGAACCATGAATCACGACCTCAGCCACGAGGGAATGGGGGGTTATCCGTGGTCACAACTGATTTGTAAAGAGAAGCCAGACATTTATGGTTTCCATATAAAAATGGAAATTTCTGGCTGTATTTTGTAAAACACCATGAGCACTAAACCAACCTCTATCTCTAGGTCTTACTTGAATTCTGGATGCCAGTTTGTGGTTGGTCCTTAAGCAACACATCTGAATAAAAGTTTGAGTAAGAAAAACTATTTTAATTTTGAAATACAAAATAGTAAAAACTAATCATAGATGAAAAAATATTGTCTAAAATAGCTTAGAAAGACATGCTCAGTCTTCACTAGGAAGTATAAACCCCGTTGAGGAAAATGAGTATCTTGGAATCTCCGATTACTGACGTGTCACTGGCAGGTATTTGCTGAATACCTGCTATAGTTGGGTTGTCTTCCGGGAGGTCAAATCGAGTCGTGTCCCTCCTAGGGCTCCTCACCCACATCCCTCCTCTGCCAGCATTGCCGGGACGGTCCCAGACCCTCCTGTGGCCTCAGCAAACACTCTCTCCCTTTGCTGGCTTTAATATTTTACCTTCAAGGATACCTGAGTTTTTCAAAGGGTGCTGGTGCAACTTCCAGCCTGGGCTAGTCATGTGGGATCTTCTCATGTGGGGAAGAGGAGAGGTTACATCAGCCCCTTCCAGAATGGCTTGCGTTTCTGTTTTGTGGCTTTGTTTTAGCTGTTTGGCCAGAAAGAAAGTGGATTCAGCTGTGTAATTTTAGGCGAATTGTTTCATGTCTCTGAAAATCAGCTGCTCTCTCTTCATATGTACCATGGGGATAATTCTAAGCATGTTCTCACGTGATTCCATCCAGCCCTTCCACATGATGGTGTGTTAACTAAGGTGCTATAAAATATTGGTTTCTATCATATAAGGATATGAGAGATATTTGCCAACATGAAATAAAACTGTATCATAGAGCTCCAGATCACCTTTTACTTTTTTAATTTTTTGATGAAAAAAGGGAAAATTTTCTTTCAGCATCCTGTTTTAATATTTTTTGTTTAATTATTTCTCTTTAGGGACTATTTTTAGTGACAGAAGAAAACAAATCACCAAATAGCTCTTCGTTTGGCTCAATTGGTGCTTCTAGAATCCTGTCCTAGCACCTGCTATTTCTGTTGTCTTCAGAGGTGCTATGTGACCCTGACATTGGAAAGGTGACCACACTCAGGAAAAGTGCAGTCCGACAGGTAAAATACAACCCTACCTTTTCCTTCATAGAACCATTACTGAGAGTTGAGAATGGACAATACAAATTCTAGAAACAAAAATCTTGCAACTTATATTTATTTATTTGTTACTCTTATAATTTTAACTTCCATAGAACCGTGAACTTCCCTTAACCAGAGAAAAAAATGCAAAAGATTATTATAAAAACAGTAATTTTTATCTGTTTCACACTTCTGATGTAACCAAGTTTACCTACCTGTTTTTTATACTTCCATAACTTTCCCTATCCTCTGTTAAACAGAAACATACAAACATAGACACACACACACACACACACACACACACACGCACATACACACACAGCTTTTGTTGTTTTTTGTTTTGCAAAAGTGAGGCTGTGCACGTGACTTTGCACCCCGGTTTTTTTTTTTTTCATGTAAGTATAGAATCCTTTCATCCATCCACCCACCCATTCAACTTTCTCCAAGTCAATAATATATAATTCATCTTTGAAATACCAGTATAATAAATTCTTTGTAATATGGAAGTTTTAGTTTATTTCACCACTTCGTATTGATAGACATTTCTGTTTATGTTTTGTTTTGTTTGCCATTACATGTAATGCTATAATGAATATCTATATATTCTTGTATATTTAGCCCTTTTTTTCTTGTAAAAGAGCTGCCAAAAGTGGGATCATTGGGTCAAAGGATTAGTATACTTCTCCTTATAATAGATGTCCTCACGTGCCTTTCCTAAAGGGTCGCACCCATTCTCACTCTTACCACATCAAGTATGAGATACAATTTTGTATATGACCTTATCTCTACTGAATGTTACAACTTTTAAAAAACTTTTGTGACTTTCTTCAGTGAAAAATTATCTCTATTTAATTTTTATTAATTTGATAAACAGCTATCACTACATATTTTCATTTGTTTATTAATCATTTTTTTAAATTCTAGAAATTGTTAGTGCCTTTTTTATTTTCTGTTCTGGCTTTTGGGTTTCTATCACATGAAAAAAATAATCTTGGAATTTTTTTCCCTAGTAACTATCGGGGTTTCAAAGTATAGGCCATATTGGATCTAACAGATAATGTGTTTTCTAATATTTATACCAATGGTTTCATACAGTGTATTTTTGTGGTTATTTCATGGACACTAACAGAAAGAATGCATTCCCTGGAGCAGCAGTCTCCAATCTTTTTGGCATGAGAGACCAGTTTCACGGAAGACAAGTTTTCCACAAACAGGGATGTGGGGTGGGGGCAAGTGGAGCTCAGGCAGTGAGGCATGGTCAGTTTCTAACAGGCCGGGTACAGGGCCGAGGTCCAGGGTTGGGCCTGCAGCTCAGGAGGGTCAATTCTTCTACCCCAATGCCTTCACTCTTCACATTTTACTGATGTAATTTCTTTTCTTTTCCTTTTTTTATAAATTCCGGGGTGTCCCTTAGGACATGTAGCTTTTTGTATTCAAATATATTTGCTTAACTTACTACCATTGCTACACTTGTTATAACTTCCAAGTCACACTTAGTGGTGTCACTATATAACTGTGTACATTGGAAGATAAGTGGTTGATCATAGTGTCTCTGCCTTCCTTTACTTCAGATTAGGTTTGTGGGGCTGTCCCCACTGCCTCAGGCCCCTCTTCCTCCAGTCAGCTGCAGGTCTATTGCAGAGCACCTGCACTAGTCAATTACAGGGAAGAATTCATGGCCACTCCCTCCCTTGGCCTGGTGTTGTTGGACGGGCCACAACCTGCTCGACTGTACCTGAGCAGCTCTGTAAGTGGTGGACTTCCTGAATCCCTGAATATCGATACAACCATAGACATAGAATCTCTCACCAACTTAGGAACTTCAGGCTGGTACAGCATTTTAGGATTATAGCCTTTTTTCTCACTTAGCTTTTCTGTTTGGTTGCTGTATGACTCTACAGAGGAGATAAGAGGCAGGGAGTTACAGACATGCAGCCACACTGCCATTTTTGCTGGAGTCCCATGTGACATAGAAGAAACTGCAAATAGGGAGGGAAAGTGAGCTCCATACACAACCTGAATACCGCAGCCTTGGCGGTCACCGTGGCTTAGGGCTTCTTTCGAGCAGAAATAACAATAAAAAGCACAGCTAACTGTTCCTTAGTATGTGTCCAGCTCTGCACTCTGCACTGCACACATGTTCGTCATATGGAGCCACTCCATCCTCAGAATCATCCTCTTAGGGTGGGCACCACGGTTATCTCTAACGGAACGATAGTTTCCCCCAAATTTAAGCAGTGGGATTAGGATTCGAACCCAAGCGGCCTGGCTCCAGATTCTGTGCTTTGACTTGCTGCAGCCTTCTGATTTCAAGATCGTTCTTTTTTAAGCACCAAAAGAGGCAAGAAAAGCTTCGTCGTTCTCTGCTGCACCCCTTTTTAGTAGATGGGTTTGTCCTACAAAATTTGGATTCAGCCAAAAGGCCACACTTAAGGACCTAGGAGGCCACGTTTCTCCTTAAGGCAGCAGGCTCCCCACTCCTTGGGATGCAAATAAGTGTTGTTGTTGTTTTTTGTTTTTTTCCGTTTACTACATGATTCCACAATGAAGTATTCTGTTTCACTATGCAAAGCTGGGTTTCTAAACAGACCATATGGTTACGTTGATTATTATACACATTTGAGGTAACTTGATGATCTCATGAAGGCAGCATTTGCACGTAATCAGATAATTTTAGGAGATAATAGCTAATGATAACTTGTGCACTGAGTACTTACCTACACTAAGGCATCATGCTGGGTGTTCCATATACATTATTTTTCAACCTCAGAACACACTGCAAAGAAAATATTATCCTCATAGAGAGAAAACTGAAGCACTGGAGAGCTTTTGAAAGTGATTTTCAGTGTGACCTGTAGTCAGGTAATGGGATAATGTGCGAAGGCTTCTGTGACTATCTTATCGGAAAGAGAAAAGGAAAAACCCCGGAAAAAAGAACCCTTCTGTGATGGGCTTTAAATGGGGCTTCCCCTGAAGATATTCATGAGAGAGCACAGGAAAAATGAACAAGGAAGGAAAGAGAGAGAAAGAGACTGAGAGAGAGAAAGGGGAAAAAAAATAACAAGGGCAACAGAGAACAATTGTGTTTAGGAGGCAGGCCGTCCTGGGCAAAGGCAAGCTCTGTTTTTTCCGTCAATGCTACAAACAATGATGGATCGAAGACTGTCTAAGAATGTCTGGAGGCTGCCCGCACTAATCAGCAGTCATGAGCGGAGATAAGATAGCTCGCAGTGAGGAACAAATGAACAGCATGTCATGCACGTGTCTCGCGTAATTAATATCACAGGGATGCCGAGTGCCGGCGCTATCGTCTGCCCTGGTTCCTCTCTTTATTTCCTGACTGCACTATTAAAAAATAAATCACGCACACCTACATAGCATTTTGTCAGGATAATGATAAGCCTTTTTAAAATTACTCACTGTGGCTCTGGGTCAGCCACACGGACTGCCCTAAGTCCCACGGAGGAGGAAAATGTCCCTGCGACAGCGGCGTGGAGCCCAGATGGATGGGGCAGACAGGCGGCTTTGCTTTCTGCAGAAGGGAACAGTTTCCTGGAAGCAAGGACTGCGCCTCATGAGCTAATGGCTTCCGTTTTATTTACAGATTCAACACACCTTGAATCTCTCTGTTGATTAAAGAATACAGCCCCCATTACACACATCATTTAACGACTTTTTTGGGGGGGTGGTGTAAACCATAAGGATTTGCCTAGATGGTTTAATTCAATGACTCATTTTCTAAATGACCTATAACAATAACAGAGCTGTTTCTAACCTTGCCTCTGGCAAAAAGCTATGGAGACAGTCAAGAAAGTTTGAAGAAACTATCCATATTACATATATACGTGTATATATATAGTATGCAGTATTTTTCAGTGTTTGGATTTTCAGAATATAGGTTTGCCATTCTTATTGTAAATGCACAATAGGATTACAAACATGCATTTGTGGGCAGTAAAATGATGTGCAGTGTATGGGAGATAACTCTATTTGCCAGGCGTTGTCCTAATTGGAAAATTCCATTCTTATCCATTGAAACTCCAAACCAAAACATTAATCACTGTCTGTCCTTCAGGTCTCCCAGGACTGCCAAATATGATGTGCACCAATAAAACAAGTGGGCAACAAACGTACTTAACAGTTACAGGTTATATACATCACAGATATGTGAATGAGGGCATAAAATAAACACTACCTCACCAGTTTCCCGGTCACTGACACCTGTAGGTAGGTGTCTTCAACTGAGGGGCCAAGTTCTGGGTTGTCCTCACTCTGGCTGAAGACTTTCTGCCCGACCTCAAGAAATCCAACCTGTCAAATGTGCCCTGTTCACCTCATTTCTCATGGAGCGCCGTCTGCGCCCTCTCTCAGTGCTGTTGTGGGAGGCAGGAATAAAAACTACAGGTGGAATTGTGACATCCTGCTAGAGTAGGATCTGTGAAAACCGACCAGAATCCCAGGGAAGCGAGGCAGGTCCTGCCCTGGAGACGCCAGCATATGGCGGTGGGAGGAATAACATGCACTTAAGTCTGATGGGGAGTCCAGGAAGACCTCACAGAGGAAGGGCAGAAATGGGGATTTCTAATCATCCAGGAAAAGTCCTAGGATAGTTCTGGAAAGCCCACCCATGGGGGCATCCACCTCCTGCAGCACCTGCCCTCTCTCTCAACACATCCCCCTGCACAGTGCCCGGCACAGCCCACGACACCCGGCGGGGCTGGCATGGGGGCCCCATGGATGTCACTTGTGCACGATCCCTCCTGCCCCCAGAATGTGACCCTTGGCATGAACACGGAGGTTATTACCCTGCTGCCTGCAGGAAGGAAACATTTACAGGAGGAAGCTCACGCCCTTCCATAAGCTGGTCACCCCTCTCCCAGGTATGAATGATGTTCCAGGTGCCCCCACTGCACCCTGTAACCCGCCGTGACCCTCGCGGGTATGTCCGCCTTTCTCTCCTGGAGTGGCTTTCCTCTGGG